CGCCCGCCCCTCGCGGTCCAGGAGCCGCCGCTCACCGCACCGCGCTGCTCCGTGCAGCACGTCTCATCCCGGCTCCTGCCGTTTCTGTGAGTGCTTGTTACCGTCTTTTTCTGGCTAAACAGTGAGCTCTGTAACAAGGGAGCCTGTCATAGTCATGTTTGCACTCCTAGCATGTTTGATGAATGAATGCGGGAAAGAGTGAATGAATGATGAATAAATGAATGAAGCAAGTTATTAAAATGTGGATGTGAAACGTAATTTCACATTGTAGGCTTTCCTTTTTTCCCGATTTAAAGTTGTTTGTTCCTCCAAGTTCTTCATAGTCATATTCCTATCTGTATTTACATATTTATTATCTTTTTATTTTCCGTAGAGATGGGGTCTCACTGTGTTGCCAAGGCTGGTCTGGAACCCCTGGCCTCAAGCGATCCTCCCACCTCATGCTCCCAAAGTGCTGGAATTACAGGCATGAGCCACCGTGCCCAGTGACACCTATCTTATCTAACCATGGAAACACAGACACGATAGTTTATTTAATTGGACATACTAAAATTATGACATCAAATTATTAATATAAGCATTGGCTGATGCTGAGAAAGTGATTAAAGTAGCCATAAGAGTAAATAATTCTTGGAAAAAATAATCTTTTGTTTTCTCTTTTAATTTTTGTTTTGTTTTGTTTTTTAGAATGAAAGAATTACTAGCTGTGTAAGATTTGTGAACTTAAGAAAAAAAGAAAAAAAAAGTTTGTGAACTTGAGCAAGCCTATTAACTTATGCCTTAGTACACTAAGAAGGTCTCAGTAAAATAAGGAGTTTGAATTAAAGGATCATTAAAATTTAGTTTAGCTTTAAAATTCCATGGTTTTAGGCCAGGCTTGGTGGCTCACCCCTATAATCCTAGCACTCTGAAAGGCTGAGGCAGGAAGATCCTCGAGGTCAGGAGTTCGAGACCAGCCTGAGCAACAGCGAGACCTCGTCTCCACTAAAAATAGAAAGAAATGATCTGGACAACTAAAATATATATATAGAAAAAATTAGCCGGGCATGGTGGCGCATGCCTGTAGCCCCAGCTACTCGTGAGGCTGAGGCAGGAGGATTGCTTGAGCCCAGGAGATTGAGGTTGCTGTGAGCTAGGCTGACGACACGGCGCTTACTCTAGCCTGGGCAACAAAGCGAGACTCTGTCTCAAAAAAAAAAAAATTCTATGGTTTTAGGGTTTGTTTTTAATATATCCCATAGTAAATTGATTTATAACAATTTTGTGAGGATAGATACTGTTTTTTAAAGTTGTTAAATGTTCATGTTTTAAAAAGCAAGGAATGGGGAATTGGTTCATTTAGAAAAGTAATTTACAAATTTACCTTCATGGTTTTATTAATTCTGTAAGCTTATAATATTTTTTGACATTCTGGAGTTAACCCAGCAAAGTAGCTTTCTCTATGTCTCTTCTAAGAGGATCTGAGGGCAATTCATACAACTATTTGCGCGTAAATTTTAGGTAAGTAAATGTTGGCATATCATACACATATGTAAGATATTCATGACTGCATTAAAAATCCATCATAGTAAGACTGCGGGCAGAGAGGGGCGATGGAGTGAAGCCAGTGCTGCTGTCGGGCCAGAAGACAAAGTCCACAAGGCCAGGAGGGCCGGGCGTGCTGCAGGCGCCCCCGCCGACCGAGGCCCTCAGCCCGGCGCGGCCCCGCCGCCCGCTCCCGGCGCCTCGCCCGGCCCCGCCCTGCGCCAACACCAGGCACTTCCGCGCAGGCGCGGCCCCGCCTCCCGCTCCCCGCGCCTCGCCCGGCCCCGCCCTGCGCCAACACCTGGCACTTCCGCGCAGGCGCGGCACCGGCGTCGCCGCGACACTCGGCCAGAGTCCGCGGCTGGACCTCTAAGGCAAGACAGCGAAGACTTTCCACGTTATTTCATTAGGACTTCAAGAAACCAGACACCCAGTGAGCAATGAATTAAGATACTTAGAAAGAGAGGCCATTAAAGGCATTGCAAAATAAGTCTGGTCACTGAGCTTTTTTTTGCTTGTTTGTGACTTTTTGTTATAGCTTCTCCATTTTGATCATGTTTCTCAAAAGCAGCTGTTAGCCATGTCTCTGCTCTGGTAAGGTGAGATGGATTCAGGTAGAATCTTGTTAGCGCCGCTAGGACAGGTCTGCGGCACATCACAGTATGTTCTGATCATACGTGATGTCTGTATTCATAAGAATCCCTGGTCAAACAAAAGCCTTTTTTTTAATGGGGAAAAGGCCTGAGCAGTGTTTCTCAGTGTGTGGTTTGAGATCTACCTCCATAAGAATTATCTGAGAAACTCAGTGAAAAGACAGATCCCTGAGCTCTATCCCAGACCCATTGAATCAGAATCCCTAAGATGGAGCCTGGGAATCTTGGTTTTTGTCAGCTTCCACTAGATGATTCTAGAGCCCTGGGCTAAGAACCTCTAAGCACAAGAAGAAATTCCTATAAAAATTTCAGTAATTGATGGCAAAAAACCCCAAAAACCTCTGTGTTTTTGAAATAAATCATATGCTCTATGCTGACAAAACAAACCAAAATAATGCCTCATTTGTCTATTGATATGAATGCTCACGGCGGGTCTTTGGCTCTGGCCTGCCCTCCTTACTGTGTGTAGTACAGTCGCAGCTGTCATCAGTAAACAGAAAAACAAAAGAGCTAATGAGGCAGCAGCTACTAGATAAAACAGATCTAGTTTCCATGGTTTTTGTATATCATTTTTTCATCCTTAGGAAGTGCTGTTCCTAATTCTGTTATAACAGCCTGTCACCGATCAAGATAATGAAACCATCGTTTGAATTATTTCATTATGTTGAATCCAATACTTGTGATGAATAAGCATGCTATTTTAAAAAACCTGTATTTTATCTAATTTCTATTAAAAGACCACCAAATATCTGTACATAACAATAGAAATATATTCATGTATTTCCAGATACCTAGATATGTCTAATATTATACAAATAGTCAAAATGTCTGGATTTTTACCAAAAATGTCTACTTTTTATCATGTTTTTAAGTTCTCTTACTATCAAAAATTATTTCTAGAAAAATCTCGTTTGTTGTGAACAATGTATTGTGGAACAGAGCTATACAGATAATAAAGTTAAATAGTCTTTTGCCTAAATTTGTTATTATAAATATATATATGAAATATCATTAAATAATTTGAGAAATTGTTATCTAAAATGTTGTTGTTTTATGTTGATTTTCTTTGCCCAAAAATTCCACCTTGAAACAGATCCCGAGAAAGGATCTTTTTTTTTTTTTTAATTTCTCAGTCATGATCAATCAAGAAAGGATCTTTTTTGATATCATGTATCCTAATGCTTCTTTGGATAGAAACTTTGTGATAACATAATTTTCTATTAATTTAATGACAGTAAGTTTAAAGTGATTCACAATACTGTTTGAAGTAAATGTGACAATTACACATTAAGAGTTTGCAATAAGTGATCCTGAGAAGACCAGGATGGGTGTTCTTTCCCTTTGTTAAATTATACAATGATTTTTTTCCACAAACAGTTGTTGAGCACTTTCTCAATGATATATATGGGAGGGGGAGAGATAGATAAAAATGCCTATTCTACAGTGGTTAACATTCTAAATAGAGGTCAAAGAAAATACAGATGATGGTAGCTATAATAAACTGGAAAAATGTACAAGAAGAAGAAACAACTCATGAAAAAATATGGACAGAAGAGGGGGAGGAAAGTGGAAACCAGTGACTGAAGTATAATTTCAAGTGGTGGTCAAGGCACCCCAATTTAGCAATTTAGCATATTCAGAACTCTCCTTACACTCATACACTATCATAGTTATTTGCTTTGTGTTCCAGTCCTTATGAATGGCAGTTTTAATCATTAATTTTAATTAATTTGATAACAACTTTAGTAAAGGTATTACACCTTTCCAGTAATATTTACTTTTTTTTTTTTTGAGACAGGGTCTCTCTCTGTTGCTCTACTGCAATGGCGTCATCATAGCTCATGGCAACCTCAAACTCCTGGGCTCAAGTGATCCTCCTGCATCAGCTTCCCAAGTAGCTGGAATTACATGACAGGGTCTCATTCTTGCTCAGGCTGGTCTTGAACTCCTAGCCTGAAGCAATCCTCCTGCCTTGACCTCCCAAAGTGCTAGGATTACAGGTATGAGTCATTGCAAACTGGCCAATATTTACATTTTAATCATACTTTTCTATTAACATATCATTATTAATTTTTTGTTATTAGTGTCTTAGTTTCAGCCCACTGCATGTGTCACAAGGTGGGTTCAGGTGGCCAGAGAAAGCCCTCAGACAAGGAAGCGCAGGGCTGGCAGGGGAGCTGGGGCCTGAAGGGGAGGACGGGCAGGCAGCAGCGCCTAGCCTCTGAACGCACTCTGAAAACAGTCTGAAAGAAGTCATCCTTTAGCCATTCAGCATCTTTCTCCTGCCCCACTTATAGAACGTTTTTGCATAGAACCTTCCTTATTTTTTAAAACTTGATGTCAAAATGGATACATTATTTTATGTTCTACTGTCATGTTATCATCTATTTTCATATTAAAGGCTACATAACATTCTTTCCAGATTTACTTAGTATTCATTTCTTCTGATGCTGCCTGAGCAGCCATGAGGAGCCAGGCACCGCGCCAGGGGCTGAGAGCGGGTGTGGAAATGGACTTGAAAGTTTGGAAGAACTGACCGACCTGACCGACACATGTGTACACTGCACACACGTGTACTAAGTTCAATGCCCGAAATGTGTTCAGTTGAAAGAGATTACCCAGAAGAGGATGGTTAACTGAAGGCCACCAGAGAAGGCCCCAAAGGTCCCAAAGAAGGTTTCCAGAGGAATGTCGTGTTCAGGTTTTGAGGGACAAACGACACAGTAAGGACATGCCGAGCACAGGTAACGACCTGCATAAAGGAAGGAAGTGTGGATGCTCATTACTACTAAAGTGTTAGAAATAAAGAGCATCAATCACTCATTTCACAATTGTCCTCCTGTTGGCTATTTTTATTACTTTCCTCTCCTTGTTATTACAGACACTACTACAGTGAACACTGCTGTGCTTCTAGCCTTTTATTTCCCTTAGATTATTTTTAAATATGAACTTCAGAAACTGGAATGACCTGGTCAAAGAAAAGGCTCTCTGGTCGAGAGCTCATTCGTGTCTTAACCCTGCAGAATGGAGAATGCGGGCATTTCCAGCACCATGGCTTAGTGGCCTCAAGGCAGCAACTCCCGTGCCAGACAGAGCCTCAGACAGCATGTGCCTTTCTTGCTCTTCTGTGTCGGTTCTTGGCCTTTTCCTTGCGAGCCTCCCCATGCGGGTCAGCTGCGCGGCCACGTGCTTGGCGACTGCTGGGCAACAGGTGGTAAACAGAATGAAACAGCAGAGTTAAGACTATAAATCATCTGATAACACAGCTCTGTTTTAAAATGCTTCCTTTTTCAAGGAAGAAAAATGTCTGTATAAACTGAATTGAGACAGCAACCAGAAAGCAAATTGTTGTCTTTCATAAAGAAAAATTTTAACAGCTCTCAAGACTATTTCTATTATTTATATTTTCTATTTCTGAAGCATTTTAACAAATATTTTTATGAAATAAATTACATGGTTTTCTTTCTACTTATCCAATCTTCAAATTAAAAGAAAGGTGCTTGATAAGAGAAAGAAAAAAATCTTAAACTCTTTATCTTTTTTTTTTTTTTTGAGACACTGTTGCCAGGCTAGAGTGCCGAGGTGCAGCAGAGCAGTAGCCCACAGCGACCCCAAACTCCTGGGCTCGAGCGATCCTCCTGCCTCAGCCTCCTGTGTAGGTGGGACTACAGGTGTTGCTCCACTGTGCTGACTTCTATTCTTTATCTATTGCTTTATATAAACAACAGAAAGTTTAGAGAAAATTAGTTTTTTAAATTATGCAATAAGTCAGATGCAAAAGTTTGTCAATACATAGAAAGAATAAGAACTTGAAGCAATATTGCCCCAAATCATAGTGTAAATGTGTCATAAAGTTTTAACTAAGTTAAATGTTTTTAAAAAATGGCACTGTAATTACATATGTAACAGAGGAAAAAGCCTGAAAAAAATGGCAAAAATATTTTCTGTCTCTTTAAAACATCCTCCCCTCCTTTTTGAGAACTGAAGGCTGCAACCCGGCCCCGGCCAGGCCAGCGGTGGGGAGGGCAGGAGGGCCGGGCAAGGGTTTCTTACTTGAGCAACAGCAGATGACCCGGCCCAGACCTGGTAAAGGGAGGTCCTTGGTGGAGGTCACAGGGTTGTCTTCAGCGCAGATGGGACATCAGAATCCTCAGCAGTAGTTGAACAGCAGCTGCCTGAAGCCGAGAGCCTGCAGCCTTTGCAAGCTCTGTGTCTCTGCTTATTAGTAGGACGATGGCCCGACTGGAGGCTCAGCCTCCTCCCGTGCCCGCAAAGTAATGAGACTTCTCTTCCCTCCTCCCCGGCCGCAGGGACAACTGCCGGGCGGTAACACGCATACAGTTCGACATGCAGTGCTTGATTTGGTTTATTAGTCACATCAGGAAATAAAATTAATTAGATGATACTGACTCACACAATTCCTGGCTCTTACACTGAGCAGTTTTGCTTATTTTCCTGTTTTCAACTTTTCATGGTGAGTTGTATACTGGAAGTAATTATTGCTTCAGAAATGTCTCTCACTTCCTTTGATCTTTTAAAAATACCTTTTTTTTCCTCAATGAAGTCTAAGAAAAATGTAACGTAGAAAATCTCTCCACCTCAGTTTACCTAGCCTGGCTTCTATCCAGGGATGAAATTTAAATTGTCTTTTGAGCCATCCAGTTTGCAGAAGCAAAATTACTTTTAAGAGGAGGTTGGAAATGTTAACTCCTGAATCACCTCTTTCCTGTTTTATTTAAACAAAATCCTCAAGACAGAGAACCCCATACCCACTCTTGGACGCCCGGAACAAGCCTAGCAGCACCTGTACCCTATGCAGCACAAACCCATCAAAACGACGCACTAGTGGTCCTCATAATTGGTGTCACCGTCTGAGAACTAATCTTTTACTAAGATGTCAAAAGTCGGTAACAGCTCAATACAATCAGCTGCCGTATTAGAAGGAGCTGTTTGTTTGGGATCAGAAGACACCGTCGCCATCTTGCTCTGCCGTTCGCTGGGTTTTCTTAGCAAGGTACAGCAAGCCTCTCTGAACCTCCATTGCGACAGTGTAGCTCAGCATTATCGAGCACCTATCGTGTGACATTATTCTAGGTACTGGGGAAACAAAAATAATTGAAAAGGCCATGATCAATGTTCTTGAGTGGATGGAACATAAAAGTAAAAGAAGAAAAGCATAATGTCAGCACAATGTGACACGCAGAGATGCTTTCTGCAGCAAGGACATGGAAAGCCATCGTCTTTCGGAGTTTTTTCTTTTCCCCAAAATGTTAAACTTTGGGAACACCTCTCAGAAAAAATAAGCTCCCCACTTACTGAAACCAAAAAGTCTTTTTACTTTTTTCTCACTGAACCTTATTTGTTCTAGTTTAAAGATAATGTGTGAAGTAGTTAGAAAGAAAATGCACACTAAGCACCCTGTAGGGATTTTGCTGCTAGTTTAGCATAGATTTGCAGGCCCTATGTTAATGAAGTCACTGCTATTTGGGGGTGTAGGTCAAAAGTAGTAGATGAGAACATCTAATCTAAGCACTCAAAGCAGATGAGGAGACATCTGGACACCACTTGTTTACAAGTAAGGAAGTGGCGGTTGGAGATGTCCACTGGCTGGTCCAAGGCCAGAAGCTAAGCAGTGGCTAAGAACATGCGAAGCCAGGTCTCGCGACTGTCAGTCATTTCTCTCCTTTGTCCTTTAGTGAACGCTCACAGAGCAGCTATTGCCTAGAAAGTGTTGTGCAAAGCGCGGCGGGAATTGCAGCACGTGTGGGACAGGCTTTCTGTCTCTCTCCTTCCATCTAACGCAAATATCAGCTGCACTTTATGCCAGAGAGGAAGAGACAGTAGGAACAGACCCTGTGGTCTATCTGAAGAGACGAGGTGAACAAAGTAAGAAAGTCTGAATTAATGTGAACTATACAAGGTGCCGGGAGTCCTCAGGGTAATACGATTAATGAGCCATCGCATATTGGCAGAAGCTAATGAACATTCAGACTCTCATCAGAATAGCTGGGTGAGTGAAGACAAGTGACCTGGACTGTGCCCTTGATCTTAATCTTTGGGACAAAGAAGAGAGAAAAGCATCCCCAGAGAAACAGCTTTCTAAGTAAAAGATTAAGGAAAGGCTAAGACAGAAAAGTTGCTGCTGTCCTTTGACCAAAACGGGGGAGGAGGTTTACATCATGGGTCCTCTATTTCCATGTGTTACCTTTACAGACCTGGTTTAGAATTCCTGTTAAAATCAGCTCTCCCTCGGGGGAGGGGGAGTATATGAGAAGAAACAATGAACACTTCATTATAGTGGCTATGAAACTATTCCTGGATGTGACTGAGTGGGTCCAGCTGTCAGGTTTAGGTAGTGTGAGAGCCAGTAGCAACTCTTTGCAATGCTCAGTGACTGGATTCCAACCAGAAATCCTAACTGAAATCTGTGACTATTAGAACCTCTTTAGGTACTCGCCCTCCGGTTCAGGAGACAATCACTGCCCACCTTTTTGGTACGGGGACTGGCGCACACCAGATTGCAGAGTGCCGTCTGTCTCTTCAAATCCCAGACGCTACACATTTGAGAGTTGCTATTTCTCATCTTTTTCCACCTAAATCTTACCTTTGAAACTAGGATTGGTCACTTTGCTGCCACACATTGCCTAATCTCACTGTGACTAGATGGTCACAACACAAAGGACGAAACACCCTGGCAGAGTCCTGGCGAGCACCGGTCGGTGTCCATTTACAGATGGGGGGTTACAGCCTCCTGTGTGCCATCTATGATGTGACAAAACGCCCTAACGGAAAAGTAAGAGCCCCAGGTGCGTCCTGCGTGACTCCTGCTTTTCTGTTGCCGGCACTGGGATGTTATACACCGTCGGCTTCTCTAAGGGAACTTGTGCTTAAAGGGGAGGAACAATTTGGCTTCATAGAAATATTCAAAGCTAATCCTTCCATAATGCAAATGGAAAGTGAGTGACATAAAAAATAAGTCTTGGTTCGTGCCATCTTTGTCCCTGTGAGCCACGACGGCAGGGCTGTTTCAGGCCTCTTTGGAGAGAAAAATTTGTGTGCAGCTTCTGAGCTGCAGCCAAAGTCATCCGCAGTTGTGGGGTCTTTTGACATGGTTCATGCCCAGGAGCAGCTTTTCCGAGATGAGAGGAAGGGTCACAACACAGCTACAACGCCCAGCCCAGTTCTTCAAGGTGCACCAAATTCAGTGACTATATTCCGGCTGCAAATCACGTACAAACAGGTGGTGGCAACATTTCCACCTTATCTTCACCCAAATCTCTGATGAAAACAAGAATTGAACAAGTACACATTCTTTGTTTATTTGTTTTTTGAGGGGGCTTGGTGGATTTTTGTGTGAATTTTTTTGTTTAAACTGGAGCTTAGGGAACCTCGTATGAGTCCAGCCGTTGGTCTAGCTCTGGGCTAAAGCAAACCGAATTGAGCGCTCTTTCCTGATATGTTTAGTTCCTCACATTAGACCCAGTCTGTGCACACACGAGCCATGAGAAAATGGCACTAGTGGTTGGCCACAAAGCAGTTTGGGCAAATGACCGTAACACAAGGCAGAATCTTGAGAGGGGAATGCCCTGCCTTCTGCACGCGGCCCTTCTCCCCGCTTTATGCCAACAGTGCCGTGGAGGAGTGGGGTTCCCATCAAAGCACGGGCAGTCCCGATGCTTTCTTTAACGTTCTGAACAGTCCCCACGCGTGGGCGAGACAGCGGCCTCCCAGTCACCGCCGGCGCAGGCGCTCCCCTGCGACACCTGCCCCGCGGCTCAGGTGAGCCGCTCCACAGGGCGGCTTCGTCTTTCTGTCCAACCCGCAACGTGGGGTAACACGGCGGTCGGATGGACTGAACCCAAATGCTGAATCAGCCTCTTTTTACTGGCTGTGCAACTTTCAGCAAGACGCTTACATTCTCAGAGCCGCCACTTTCTCACCTGCCGTCGATCCCGTTAGATCCATTGTGATTGGATTCAGTGACTATTTATGAAATACCAGACTGTGCTGGTCATGGGAGAATAAAAGCTGCGGAGTCAATATAATCCAGGCTTGGCGAGTTGGGGACAGCCCCAGAAGCCACGGAAGGGCTGCAGAATTCCCGCAGCATATTCTGAGGGCCGAGAGGCAAGTCCTTTGGGCACCAAGAGTCCCCAGGGCTCAGGGCTTTGCTGCTGAAGCCCGCGAGGACGAGGAGGCCGGAGGAGGCCCGCGAGGACGAGGAGGCCGCAGGAGGCCCGCGAGGACGAGGAGGCCGCAGGAGGCCCGCGAGGACGAGGAGGCCGCAGGAGGCCCGCGAGGACGAGGAGGCCGCAGGAGGCCGGCGGCGTCTCCCAGCCGCCCGCCCTCCGGCTGCGGGTGCCCGGCGCTCCCCGGGCTGAGCCAGCCGGCCCAAGAGGCTTGGATTCTTCCTGTAGAAAGCGCAATGCAGCGCTCACTGGCGCCGGAGGAATTAGAAGGGCCGGGGAGGCGGCGCGGGGCCGCTGAGCTGCGCATTCCCAGGTCCGACGGCCAGGGCCCCGGGCTGGCTTCTCTGCTGCGGCCCGTGGGGCCCTGAGTCACCCTCTTCTCCTTTGTCCAAAAGCAGGTCAGACCAGGTTAGCGCTCGGGCTCCCTGAACCTTGACGCGCCCCACGCCGCGCGGCGCGGCTCCGCCAGCGCGCAGGGCGCCGGGACCCGCGTCGCGCCCGCAAGCCCAGTGCCGCCGCGCCTGCGGGAGGGACGACCGACGGCAGAGCGCACCAGCCGCGCAGGGGCGCCGGGAACCCGCGTCCGCCGCAACAGTGCCCGGCGCGCTGCCGGGAGGGGGCGACCGACGGCAGAAGCGCCACCAGCCCGCGAGGCGCTCGCCCGCGTCCCGCCCGCAGCCAGTGCCGCCCGCGGCCTGCGGGAGGGACGACCGACGGCAGAGCGCCACCAGCCGCGCAGGGCGCCGGGACCCGCGTCGCGCCCGCAAGCCCAGTGCTGCCGCGCCTGCGGGAGGGACCACCGACGGCAGAGCGCCACCAGCCCGCCGACAGGAAGCCAGCCCCACTCTGGCGCAAGGAAACCCAGATTTTCCTCCTGCTGTGTCGTGTTGCTAGCACAGTGAGCCGGTTCGGCCGGGCTCGGAAGTGCGCGGCTCGGCCTCCGCCCCTCTCCTCCGCCCCGCACAGGGCCGGAGGCGGCTGAGGCAGACGTCAGGCTCTGCAGTGTTCGGTGTCGTTTTTCCGCCCAGCCGCGTGATAGAATTGCACTTTCCACCCCACCTCTCCCCCACAAAAACAAGGGTGGCCACGTGATTTAGTTTGCTAACGAAGTGTGAGCGTGTGTCACTTCTGAGCAGATGTTTAGAAGCTGTAGACAGTTCGTGTGGCTCGCCATGCGCTCTCTGCCTTTCTGGAGACCCGCATGTTACACACGGTGGCCGTCAGCCTGCGTCCCAGAGCCCCAGCTGAGCTCTGACGCCACGCGGCATAGCTTCGCTGCTTTTGGCTGCCAACGTCGGGGATCACTGTGATAGCAGGTACTCCAACCCGGCATTCTCAGCAGGAGCAGTGTTCCCCCAAGGAAATGAGAATTTGTTCTTGGATTTTGAAACAATGTACAAAGGTCTATGACCCTCCAAAGAGCCATAGTATATAAACAAATATATAATATATTTGTGGTATTAAAATTTCACAGGGATGGCTCACGCCTGTAATCCTAGCACTCTGGGAGGCAGAGGTGGGACGATCGCTCCAGGTCAGGAGTTTGAGACCAGCCTGAGCAAGAGTAAGACCAGTGTGAGCAAGAGCGAGACCCCGTCTCTACGAAAAATAGAAATTAATTGGCCAACTAAAAATATATAGGAAAATTTAGCCGAGCATGGTGGCGCATGCCTGTAGTCCCAGCTACTGAGGAGGCTGAGGCAGGAGGATCACTTGAGCCCAGGAGTTTGAGGTTGCTGTGAGCTAGGCTGACACCACTGCACTCTAGCCTGTGCAACAGAGTGAGACTCTGTCTCAAAAAAATTTTTTAAAAAAGAATAAAACGAATAAAATTTCACAAGGAGAGAAGGTTGGCAAGGGTTTAAGAAAAAAAGTCTTAAAAATCTTCTTAAGAATGCAATAATGAAG